TCTCCATGCCCAGCCATCTTAGCTATTAATATGTCATGACTCCATGTGGAAAGCTACCTACATTGAAGCTGTTTATGGGAGGGCCTGTCTATACCACAGTTGTTCGTGCCATCTCCTCATGCTATGGCCCCTGCTTATAAGAGAGTCATTCCATGCCATGACCATAAGTACTACCCTGCCCATGATGCAACACTCTGTAGGTGGCACTCTCTCTTTCTGCTGTGACTCCCGGTGAGCCTCTCTCTCTGTGTGCTGTGACTGCATTAGTGGCTGTCTCTGCGCTGTGACTGTCTCTGCGCTGTGACTGTCTCTGCTCTGTGCCTGTGTCTCTATGCTATGACTCTGTGAGTGGTGTTCTCTCTCTCTCTCTGGAGGGTTGGCAGTGTAGAGATGTGTCCAGTGAAATTATTTAAATTATTTTAAAACTCATGCATTTTCATGATAAATTCCCTAGTGTCAGCTCTTCTTAATAAGTTGGGAGCTCTGGGTTAGAGATTGTAGCTGCCCCTGAGAAAGGGCCAAGCTGCTGGTCATGGCTCCTTCAGCTCAGGCACTGTCACTGGTTTAGAAGGTTCTAGACTTGGAACATCTCCCACTGGGTTGAGTGACTCTGGGGTTTACTGGCGTTTCCTTTTCCACCTGTCAGCTGTTTGTACCAGGACTGTGGGGGAGAGGGTTTTTGGAGCAACCACTTCCTGGTAATCCATGGACTTGGAAGGAAATCTCCCCAGCACCTTCTGTGATAATTTAAACCATTTCTCTCTCTTTCTCTCTTTTCTCTTCCTAAAAATTATAGTGTGTTTTTAAAATGTGATTTTATAAATTATTATTTTACAAGGACCACGTTGTCTGCATGGTGCTTTACAGGGTCTATCTGGCCACAGCTGGAGCACTGCTGGGTGTTTTATGGCAAATTATTCTCAGATTACCCTTTAATGCAGGAAGGGCTGCCTGTTGTCTGAGCTCCCTGGGTCATACAGAAACCCCAGCCTTGATACAAAACAGCTGTCTGTGTTCCAAGGAGGAGGATTTCAGATGGAGACAGAAGGGAAAAGGTTTGCATAGCTGGTGGGGGCTTTGAAAAATGTTTAAGTTACTCTTTCCTTGCCATTAGAATGTGATTTAATTTTGTTACCAACAAATTGTGTAAATCTAAGAGAGAAGCACTGTGAAAAAGAGTTTGTGACGAGTGTTCTGGCAGTACTTACAGCGTGTCCTGAGGGGCTGCTCCCTAGGGAGGCCAGCACAAAACTCCTGCTGACCTCCATGTCCCCGAGCCTCAGTCCGGCTGGGCCAGGGTCAGGGGGGCAACCCACAGACCTCCCTCCCCTTTCTCCTCTAGGCCCCTGCTGAGACCAGCAACAAAAGGGCCAATTGTCTGAGGCATCCCCTTGTCTCAGGGGCTCCAGCAACCTTTCTGAATGCCAAAGTGTATCCAGGCACATTGATATGTATGCATATATGTATGTATATATATGTATATGAATGTAGGTACACGTAATGGTTCTTGCCCACATGTATATGTAGCATCTGTGCAAACACATGCATTCACACATATACACATTTGAGCAAGCATGTGGACATGTGTGTGTGTATACTATGAAGATATGTGTGAGGGTATATACATGTATGTACATGAATATGAATGGATGTGTCCATATGCATACTAATGCATGTATGTGTGTGAGTGCATGAGAAGCATGCAACTTGCTTAAAGAATTTCTGAGTCCTGGTGCATCTAAACAGAGCCAGTGGCCCCAGAAGCTGGACTGGCCAATGGTGGCTCCTAAGGCTAAAGGAATGGAGCATCTGGCTCACTTCTCAGCAGGTCGCACAGCTGCCTTTATGTGGTGTTCTCTCTGGTATGGAAAGCTTAGAGCTGTTTCTCCTCGCTTGCTTTCCCTGGAGGAAACCAGAGAGCAGGCATAAGCAGTCTCCTCGCGTAGCTTTTTGCCTACTTTGCCTCATTGGCCTGTTCTGACCTGGACTTCCAAACTAGACCTTCTAGAGATTGTCTGCTCTCTTCCTGTTCCTTCCCAGGACTGCCTGACTGGAACCAGTACATTCTCTGTGTAGAACAACTATGATATGCCCCATCCTCATCAACACTGAATTAGTACCCACTGAGCCACAGGGCTCTTTCCTGTGTCCCATCATTTCGGTCCCTAACACTGATTGTTCACAGTGGTGTGTAGGGATCAGTGACCAGGCCAGCCTTGGGTATGTGCCAGCCCTGTCTATTGGAGTATTCAGGGCTCAGATTTTCTTCTTTAATAAAATTGTCCTTCTGAAAATGACAACAAAACACATTAGACTCTGAAGCTGGGAGAGAGAAGGGAAATGCTTGAATTCTCTGGTCTGCCTCTACAGCAGTTCTGCCCGGCCCCTTTCACCAGCACAACTGCCCTGGAGTAGCTTCCCACTTTCTTTCCCTCCTTGTCCCTCCCTCCCTGTTTCCTCTGTGCTCCCAGCAAGGGCTTATCTTTCTACTGTAGAGCAGCCACCAATTAAACTTTGCTCCAAAGCTTATCAACATATTCAGCCAGTAAAATTATCTTATAATTAGCTGAACTACAAGCCAGAAGTCTTTAACCACAGGAAATACAATGTGACCCAGTGTGTGGAGTCTGTAAGTTGCTCATCCCCACCTTGGCTGCAGTCGCGGCTTCTCATTTTTTCCCAGTCATTTCCTCTGTGTTCTGTGTGCTCTTAATGGTCCCCAAGGCCTTAAAGAAAATACACGACAGGTTTAGCTGTGATAGATAATGGAGTAAATTCAGTTAAATGTAATATAAGATCATCCTGGTTTTTAATATTTCATGCACGCACATTTATATACTCTTTGTGTGTATGCATGTTCACATATGTGTGCATGCATATTTGTTGGGGGACGTGCATGTGTGTGGAGGCCAGGAAACAGGTGCTGTTCACCTGTTCTATCTAATCTATCTATCTATCTATCTATCTATCTATCTATCTATCTATCTATCTGGCAGGGTCTTTCTCAGACCTGGAACTCACCATGTAGGCCTGGCAGACTGATCATAGAGTCCCAGAAATCTGCCTGCCTGCTTCTTCCTGATGTGAGGGTTACAAGGGCCTGCTACCATATCCAGTTCTTTTAGTGTAGCTTTAAATGGGGTATTCAACCCAAGTCCTTCTGCTTGCAAGACAAACTCTTTATCAACTGAACCATCTTCTTTGTCCCTGCATGCATTTTGTGTGTGTGTGTAAACTTAGGCCTACTTTTCCTGGGTGTGCTGATGTTTTGCCATGACTGGGTCTGTATTTTGGATAACTGCAGTGTTGTTCTGAATTATTCTGGAGCTGTGCTGTTCCAACAGTATCCAGGGGATTCTGTAACATGGTCAGCTGGACAGCAATTGGGCTTTCTTGCCTCAATTACCTCAGTTTGCCCTCTTTCTCACTCTCTGTTCCTCACTCTTTCTATAATTCCACGGCCTGGAGTCCCTCCTGCCATCTTGCACCAAATGTGGTATCATGGCCATGTCATCTGTCACCCTCTCCCCATCTCTGTTAGGGGATAGCAAGGAAGCATGAATGGTATTTGGGGATCTTAAGGTACAACTTAGGCTTTCAGACAGAAGCAATATTACAGGTGGTACTTAGATTCTTAGTTGCTGTGAGCTTCTTTAATGGCTAATGCCGTGGCTGGACATAAGAGGGCTCATGAGACTTACATAGATTCACTGGACATTGATTACATCTTTTCTATAATGAAGCACTTCCAAAGTTCTAAAAACAAATCGAAAATTAAGTTTTGGAATATACTAACATTTTCATAGATAGGCATCGATTATAGTACTTATACAGTAGTTAATATTGGTAGCGTTTTCTGTGTTTGTCATGCAGTTATACTGCTATAAACACAAATGTAGAAAACATCTTCATCCTAACATTATTCTTAAGAGGAAACAATGGTTCTGACCACTTTAAAACTAGGAAACTGGCATCAAGGACCTCAGTAACTGCTGTTGCAGCTGAGCTCAATCCGCTAACCTGACTGTCTTGTTCACTGTTCACCGTGTGTGAAATGTCCAGGGCTCATGCCTTATGGTTTTGACCTTATGGTTGTGACCATGTATGCTTGAGAGGTTTCCATGATACTGCTGCAGGTAAAGAGGACATCACAGCTTCATTTCAGCCTCCTGTCGCTGCTGCATCCAGCTGTCACATGTACCATTCCCTGAAGTTACATTTCCATTTGGGGCTTGGTTTCTCTACAGTCTTTAGAATGTGACTTGACCGGCCTTGAGATGATGGGATAGCCTTAAATGCTAAGTGAATCCCCAGGAAACCTCTGGCCCAGGTATCTAATCCCTTGGTGGTCTAGAGTCTACATGATGCTCCTGTGAAAGGGGTGACTGGGGGGGCCCACTCTTGGTTTTGCTGTACCAATGCAAACCTTGGTAATGGCTGCATGTTGACACCCCATCCTTCTACTGATGTCCCAAGAGCCCTGACCTGCAAGTTGCTCCCAACTAAGGATGCTTTCTGTCTGATCCATGATGAAATACCCTTGGCTGTCTAAAGACCTTTTCAAAATATCATGATCCTTTCAAAGCAAAGTTGAAATCAAGGCACTATCATTAGAAATGGCTGTGAAACAACAAGGCCTGTTAGGAAATGTTTTAAGATTTACTTTTATTATGTGTATGAAGGTTTGTCTGCTTATGTATGTATGTGCATCATGTATGTGCCTACTGCCCACAGAGGTCAGAAAAGGACAGCAAATGCCCTGTCACTGAAGTTACAGCTGGTTGTGAGCCACCATGTTGGTGCTGGGACCTCTGCAAGAGCAGCCAGTACTCTTATATTTTGGTTGTGAGCCTAGCCTTTAACGGCTGAGCCATCTCTCCAACCCCAGACATTAGGAAATGTTTAAAAATAATTGACCATATTGAGCTAATTTTCTTGTGATTTCAGCATGTCCTTTATATTATTTAATTTGTATTTTCCCTCTTTTTTCTTAATTGCAGGTTGGACTGACGATAGCCATCCGCTATAGCCACAGGTAAGGTTTTAAAATCTTTTTTTAAAAGAAATGGGCTTGTGGTTTAGAGGTTTTGGTTTTCGTAGGTCCTGAAGAATTTTGAGGTTTGTGTTCTGTTTTGGTTTCTTTTTTGGTGGCTGTTTTTCCATGTTGGAGATGGTACAATTGCAATTGTTGTTTGGAGGAATGTGTGGTGGTGGCGGTGGAGGAATGGTTTTAGTTTTTGCTTATGCGTTCGTTGCAAGCTGGCCTCAACCTTGCAGTCCTGCCTCAGCCTCCCTAACACTGGGATCATAGGATCGCACCACGGTACTCAGTTCTGCCGTCAGTCTTGTTTACAGACAGTCTTCTTGGTGGTTCAGCTTGGCTTGTTGTTTTTTGATCCTCCTGCCTCTGCTTCCAAAGTGCTAAGATCACAAGTGTGACCCCTGTGCCCAACAACATTTTCTGAATGACATGAACTCGAGAAGCTTGACGGTAGGGCACAGATGTGATTTGTGTGTAGCGTGTTGAGCCTGAGTCTGAGAATCAGAGTGAGGGGGTTTTTACCTGTGAGGCCAGGCCAGGCCTGTTTGTAGAGCTCTTTCCTTGCCCACCACACCTCTCTCCTTCCTGCCTTCCTGCCTTTGGCAGAGGCAAAGGGCCTCGATTTTTGTCTCGCTTCATGATATCCACCCTGGTGGCAATCGCACCATGTCAATGAAAACAAAGCATTACTTTCTAGTGCCATCATTGTAGCCTTGTCCTGTGAATGTTTGCTTCTAGAATCATCTCTCTTGTGTGTATGCACCAAGATATACTGTGCTGAATGAATTAAAATGAAGGTTTGATAAGCAGTGTCTTCCTGTTCTCATGTACGCTGTGTTCACCGCTTCCCCAAAGCGCCACCCTCGGATCAAAGGCTGGCAGCTCAGGTTAATCTGCTCATCTCTCCGCAAACAACTCAAAAGAATACCAGGCGTCGGGACAAATTTTCATCCTGAAGATAGTTGTTACAAGTTGTATGTTCAGTTTTGATCTAAGTGTGAGACTCAAATAGCTGCTGAAAAACAGAACAGGTATGAACAGGAAGAGGGCAGGAGTGGACTTGAACTTCTCGGAGTTCATGTATGAGAAGGAAGGTGTTTGGGGAGACATGTCTGGAGCAGGTGGATGAAGGCTGCCCCAGACAGGTTCATGGCCGTGCAGGGGGTAAAGTGATATCTTCCCCTTGCCTGTCACATAAGCTTATGGCTGAGGTCACATAACAAAAGGCAGGTAATGAGAGGCCGATGTACATGTTCATTCAGTACGTTTTACACGAGGAGGAGGTTTTATAAGAAAACAAAGACCCAAAGTGAAGAAGCATGATTAGACAGGTGCTAGAGCAGTGGTTCTTAACCTGGGGTCCCTATCCCTTTTGGGGTTGCTTATCAGATATCCTGCACATTAAATATTTATATTACAATTCATAACAATAGTAGAATTAAAGCTATGAAGTAGCAATGAAATAATTTATGATTAGGGGGTCACCCCAACACAAGGAACTGTATTAAAGGGTCACAGCATTAGGACAGTTGAGAACCACTGCTCTAGTGTGGATAAAATGATGGGCCTTTTTTTGCTCAGATCTTCTCTGTGCTCTGGTGCCTTCAGAGGTCAGGATGCTCCTTTGCGAATTGAGAGGGTGCTCTAAAGAGTCTTGCGAGCTGTTTTGGTGATCTTCTCTTCTGCGATCTTCTCATGCCAAAGGGCCATATTTTGGAGTAACAAGTCCCAAACCCTATCTTCCACCTGTGTGTTTCCCAAGTCTGGTGTGTGCAGTGTTTGGATGGTGTGCACACACATAGAAACATTGTCCTGAAAGAGCATGCTGTCCCCTCATCAGCACAGCTGGGTTGTCACAGCTGATGAGATGCCTCTCACCGTGCCCTTAAGACACATTCACCCATCAGTGCACTCGTGGGCTGTGTCTGCCTTTTAATTATAAGGGATGTTGATGTTATAAATACAGCACATGAATGTCTTGTCCTTGCTTCTACTCCTTTTGGACTTATATAAGAATTAGAGTCCTAATTACATGGCAATACTCAAGTTAATTGTTTTGAAGAGTGTTCATACTATTTTCTTGTCATTGCTATGTGAAATGGAGTTGTATGAAGTCCACACAGTTCTGGTTCCTTCAGAAACAGTTGGGATGGAGAATTTCATTGTTATGTTTTAGCAGAACCCAGAGACTGGAGTGAGAGTTTCCTGGGTCTTCTTTGTGTGGACAGGAAGACTTTGAGGACAAGGTTTGGGTCTTATCAGCAGACCTTTTCAAAAATTCCCATAGAAAGGCCAGCACAAGAGTGAGGAAGATGAGGAAAACCCCGATCGACCTCTGCAGTGGATGGAGATAGATTCGAGAATCAGGAAAAGGCAAACGTGGTTCCAGAGTGACAAATGAGGAGGAATGGCTTCTCCGTAGAGCAATGGGTGGAGGCATCGTAAGGAGATGAGTTTGAAGAGGAAATGAAGGAGTCAGGAAAATCACGTAACCTTGATGAGCAAGCATTTCTCAGTCTGCTGTGGACAGAAGTGGGGACAGAGCTCTTCCAGAGCAGGAGGGGACCTTGCATGATAACTAAGGTGCTTGAGGCCGCAAAGCATCCAGGGGTGCTCCAGCTGTTAAATCTGTCCCATTAAAAAGAGGATGCTGTTCAGGATGAAAAATATCCCCCACAGCACACAGACATGCATGTGTGCACACAGACTTTCACATTCATGCACATATGTGACTACACACGTGCACGTACACACACACACACCATCCACATCTACTTCTGCATCTATCCCTTTGTATCCATCATTCCAGACCTGATTATATGGCATAGGGGTGCATGTGATATGCCACATAGGGTTGGTGCTGAGGTGTGGGGAAGCGGAGGATACTGTAGCCATATTCAGATACTATAAATGTGCAAAGCAAGAAGAACACCTGCCATGGCTGATGGACATTTAGCAACGGGACTTGCTCACAGTTCATTTATTATCATGGTGCCTTAATTTATTTTTATAAAGTCAAGTCATTTTTGTACAGAGTGGAAAATTGTCTCTTTGATGCTTATTTCCCATTGTTTAGCTTGAGGTTTTGGGTGGAATCCACACAGTGTGACAACTGGGTAACCCCGAAAAGTGCCCTTTGCAGATAACAGCTCTTGGGGCCCCACCACCTACGCAGTGGGGAACAGTTTCCCCAGTGTGTGGGTGTTTCATTTTGTTCTTTCTCTGTAAGGTTGAAAGAATTGCACTCTTCCTCCTTACTGATCCAGGGCGGCAGCCCAAAGCAGCGCGTTCCCTCGTGGTGGATACCCCTGGGCAACCGTGAAAGAGGAAAGAGGCAGAGAAACGGCACCTCACCTCTAGCTCTCCCTTCTGACACGGGAGCACCCACGTGAGCCAACCTTGTGGCATTTTTGCATGAGCCTCTACACTGATGTTTCAAAAGCAGAAGATAACAGCAGCCTGTGATAGGATGATTTTGTTTGTTTCTTTTGCTGGTTTTCTCTCTTAAATAGATAAGAAAGGAAACAAATTTTCCATCTGCTACAGGTACAGGAAAGTCCACAGGAACATGAGTTTTAGATAAAACTGAACAATGGTTCTTCTCCAAAACAGACTTTTATCTCCTGGCTTCCTTTGGTCCTGAAGTAAGGCCAACTTAGCTGTCGTTGAGGTCAGTGTCACATCAAGACATTGGGGTTATAGGTGACAATTCTTACAAAGGGTTTGACATCTCCAAGGTGTTATGGATAGTTTTATGTCAACTTGAAACAGGCTAAAGTAATCTAAGAGCATGGAAACTCAATTAAGAAAATCCATAATATCCAGCTGTAGGGAATTTTCTTAATTGTTTATTGATGTGGGAGTGCCCAACTCATTGTGTGTTTATAGGTTCTAGAAAAAATAACAGGCTGAGCAAGTCATGTTGAGCAGACCAGTGAGCAGCACCCCTCAGCCCCCATGACCCCTGCATCAATTCCTGCCTCCAGGTTCCTGCCCTGTTTGAGTTCCTGTCCTGATTTGGTTATGGTGTTTCATCATAGCAATAGTAACCCTAACTAAGACACAGGGTTGTGGACCAGAGACGGGGAAGGCAGAACTAGAGGGCCTACATGTAATCAGTCCCCAAGGTGAAGAGTGTCTGTGCCCATTGTACAGACCTATGGCTCAACAGGCACCCCAAGGCTGTTCCTAGTTTTGTTTTGAATGACTTAGCAAGAAGTGAAGGGGTCATGGACTCTTGTGTATGACTTGGATTAGAATCAGATTCTGAAGTTGGCAGATGAATCAGAAAGCTTATTGAATGGACAGGTGATATCAAGCCAGTAATGAAACTGTCATCTTGAAATACAAAAATAAAGAAAAGGCAAGAAACAGGGTCATCAGGGCCATTGGGCTTTGATTTCAAGAGCTGGCAGATACCTAGTGACTCCCATTTGGAGCTGGTTTGATCTTGTGGGGTCAGCTGGGGGAGAATGTAGTTCTCCAAATTTTGTAAAAATAAAAAAAATTGCCTTTCTACCCTTTTTTTCTATTTTCAAGAAATAGTTGTTTCTGTCACTAGGGCTCTGGCCAACTGCTTTATCTGTCTCTTTCTCAGACTTCACAGTAAGGCTCTGACCAGATTTATACACAAGAATTGCCAAGAATTATTTCTCTTTGATGCTCAAATCTTGAAAGTCAAGCTATCTTTAGAAGGTTACATTTTTTCATCACCTTCCTACAGAATATTATTCTCAAGGGTCAGACTACAGATCTTCATGGAGTGTTCAAATCATATGTTTTTACTTAGTGTTTTGAGGACTGTAGGCTATGTTGTAGGTATTTCATGGCAGAACTCAGTACAGGCTTGCAGATGGGTCTAGAGAGTGACAGATGCTCTTTAGGCTCTACACCTTCTGGTACATCTTCTGTCCACCCCAACCCCACAGTCCCTTGTCTCTTCTCAAGTTAATGGCCTTATCTTTTAGGGACCTTTCCATCAACCCTAAATGGTT